GTGCTAATGATCCATTGTTAGGCTGATGGTCCTTCTTGAGCATGTGAGCAGCTGGTTTTGGTTGTCAGCAGCAAAACTGGTTGATCCACTCTGAGAAGGTGCTATTTAAGAGACTGAGCTGAATACAGCACCTCAGACTGAGGAAGTCTCTCGGATGAGAGACGAAACGTTTCTACATGTTTTTGTTGTTTTGCTTTGTTTTGTTTTTTTGAATGTCCAGAGGACCAGATTTAACTTTTTTAGATGTCTAAAGGGAACTTCCACTCTCACTGTCTGACCAGCAGATGAATTCAGAAAAACACATCTGTGATGATTCCTCACATATAGAAACTTTCTCCACATCGTGGCTCAAACACTTTGCTGATGCAGTTCATCTCCTTACTTTACATCAGTGATCAAGAATAAAGAATAATCTTCTTAATTTACCAAGTTCCTGAGTGCCTCTGTGTTTACAGTAATTGTTTTAAATACACACATGCCCAAAGTGAAAAGAACATGCATAAAGTTGGAAATGCCTCAGAGGTGCACAGCAGGCAGTCAGTGTCCCCCACTTCTCTTTTTTCACTGACAATGTACACACTCCTCTTTGCACATGGGTGCTACATGTTTTTACTCCCCTCATTTAGGAGCATCTCTGACTCACATGCCATGAAATTCCTCATTCTGATGCATCTAGACATCATTTTAAATTGTGCAGCAAAACATATTTGCATCTATTTACATACTGCCAGGGGAGAGGACTCAGGTGCACTCAGTTCCATGTTCATTCAGATGTTTGAAGGAAAGCTGAGCAGAACCGTGTGTGTGTGCACAGTTTGATAAATCTGAATATTTCTCTATACTTACGCCAACTTTCAGTAGGAAAACAGTGCTCTCTGACACATGAGGCCCCTGGTCTAAAATCAGCACTCCAGATGCTCATTTTCACTGTGACAGATTGTGGCTCTGAAGTGTCCACTCTGAAGTGTCCACTCTGAAGTGTCCACCCTGAAGTGTCCACCTGGGGTTTGATTATATGCCCGTCCAAGGTGGGACATACAGGTGCTGGTCATAAAATGAGAACATCATGAAAAAGTTGATTTATTTCAGTAATTCCATTCAAAAAGGGAAACTTGTATATTCATTTATTACACACAGACTTATATATTTCAAATGTTTATTTCTTTTAATGTTGATGATTATAACTGACAACTAATGAAAACCCCAAATTCACTATCTCAGAAAATTAGAACATTACTTCAGAGTCTGACTTAAAGTGTGTGTAATGAATGAATATAATATACAAGTTTCACTTTTTGAATGGAATTACCGAAATAAACTTTTTCACGATATTCTAATTTTATGACCAGCACCTGTATTGTGGTTTAGTCTCCGTGCATCCGTCTGTGTAATTTCTCTGACTTTACAGTAAAATGAGCTGTAAAATGGTTCGTTCAGACATCAGTTGACCAGATGTTCCACATGCTTCTCATTTTTCCTCCTCCTCTTCCTCAGTACTTCACCTGCCTTCTGCTGATCCTCCTCGCTCAGATAGCAGCTGGTTTGCTAATCTACTTCCAGAAAAGTGCCGTGAGTGTTGTCATTTCCTGTTTCTACACAGAAACATATAAAAAAAAATTATATTCTTTGCACAGACCAACTAAAAGAACTGTATTTTCCTGTAAGGTAATAAAGCCTGACATACATAAATTAAATTTGTTCAACAGCTTTGACTGAAACAAATGGAGCTTTAGTGCCCTATGGTGGTCCAATTAAAGCATTTCACACTGTTTCATTTTGTGTTTTAAAATTTGTAAATTAAAAAAAAAAAAAAAATGTTTATTTGAAAGATATATATATATACATACATATATATATATATATATACATACATATATATATATATATATATACATATACATATATATATATACATATACATATAC